ATGGATGTGTATGTGTATATGTGCTTGCATGTGCATGTGTATATGTACATGCACATGTGCATGTTAGTGCATCTGCGTATAGAAGTATATGTGTAGATACAGATACAAGTGAAGATTTAGATGTATGTGCGTATGTATATGTATGTGTATGTATGTATATGTGTATATGTTTGTTTCGTGTGTGTATATAGATATAGATATACACATATATGTGGGCATATCTACATGCGTTCCGAAAGTGCACACACGTGTGAAAGCATACAGAAAGCGAGAAAGAGAGAGAGAGAGAGTGATGACTAACAAAAAAACAGAGAGAGAAGGGAGAGAGATAGAGAGAGAAGAGAGAGGAGAGAGAGAGAGAGAGAGCGGTTGCGCGCATCGCGCGCGCTCAGGTTCTAGCAGACCCCAGGCCTTGACGAATTCGCTGCTCCACTGAAGTAGTGGACCACAGTCCACGCATGCCAATCTGCATTCCGAAAGGCCTTCGAACAAAATGGCTGTGTAGGGGGGCGGAGGCCGTATGAATCGGGTTCCCATAAGGCCTTCTGGGAGCATGGGTTTGGGGGGCGTCTTGGGGAGCCTGTTGGGGCGTGCCGTCGTCGTCGTCGTCGTCGTCAGAATGTCGTCGTCGCCTATTGGGGCGCGCCGTCGTCGTCGTCGTCGTCGTCGTCGTCGTCGTCGTCGTCGTCGTCGTCGTCGTCGTCGTCGTCGTCGTCGTATTCGTCGTTTCGTCGTCGTCGTCGTTGGTTCAAGAAAGCACTTGGGGCAACTTTGTGCGAAATGATCTGCGGAGGGCCGCGAGAAGGCGATCAATCATGTTCCCAATCAACTTCCCAGACAGCTCTCCTGTAACTGTAGCATGATGGTACTTCGAAGCTTCCAGAGACTCGCGGGCCCATGATGAACCATGTCCCCGGAAGGCCTTCTGGGGACATGGTTTGTTGGGGTGTGTTGGGGGGTCTCTTGGGCGTTCCCTGGAGGCCCCTTGGGGGCCTCCGGGAACTCTCGGGCCCATGATGAACCATGTCCCCGGAAGGTTTTCTGGGGACATGATTTCTTGGGGTGTGTTGGGGGGCCTCTTGGGCGTTCCCTGGGAGCTCCTTGGGGGTCTCTTGGGGCTTCCTGGGGGCCTCTTGGGCGCCTCACGGGGCTTCGTGGGAGCCTCTTGGTGGCCTCCAGGGGCCTACTGGCAGCCTAGGGCCAGAAACCTCGAAATATCGGTTGGCGGTCCCCCTCTGGGCCCTCTCTTGGGGAGCTCTTGGGGCCCAGTTGGGTTGTCTGGGGAGCCTCCTGGTCCGTCTTGGGGCCCTCGTCGGGGCCTCGTGGCCCGGCTTGGAGCGATCTGAAGGGCCTCCGAGCGAGGCCGTGAGGGAGCGCTGGGAAGCGGGGAAAGCGAGAACGCCTAAATCCTTCAAAAACCATCGGATAATTAGTGAATCCTACCGCCCAGGAACCTCTTGGGGGGCCTCTTGAGTCCGTCCTGGAGCGTGTTGGAGTCCTCGTCGGCCGTCTTGAGGGCATCTTGGGCGTCTTCCGGGCCTTTTGGGACCGTCTAGGGCCCTCTCGGGACCTCCCTTAGCCTGTCGTAGCCTGCTTCGGGGCGGGCCCGGGCCGCCTCGGGACCCCTCTGGGCCTTCTCTTGAAGCGCTCCTGGGTTGTTTGGGGCACACTTGGAGCGCTCCTTCTCTGGGTTGGCTTCTCTTGGAGCGCTCCTGGGTTGGCTTCTCTTGGAGCGCTCCTTCTCTGGGGCACACTTGGGTTGTCTGGGGAGCCTCATGGGCCGCCTTGGGGCCCTCGTCGGGCCTCGTGGGCCTTCTTGGAGCGATCTGAAGGGCCTCCGAGGTCGTGAGGGAGCGCTGGAAAGCGGGAAACGCGAGAACGCCAAAATCCAAAACGCTCGGAAAACGAGCGAATCTTGCCTTCCAGGGCCTTCTTTGGGGAGCCTCTGGAGTCCGTCGTGGAGCATGTTGGAGTCCTCGTCGGCTGTCTTGAGGGCATTTTGGGACCCCCTTAGCCTGTCGTGGCCTGCTTCGGGGCGGGCTCGGGCCGCCTCGGGAGCTCTGGACCCCCCCCCGCAACCCCCGGTGGGCACCGATGGGGGGAACAGGCAGCGGCCCGCCCACCCCCCCGAGCCTACTCCGAGATAGAGAATCATGTTCCCAGGAAGCTCTCCAGGAGCATAATATTTGTTCGGCTCTCTCAAGAGGGGGGCCTCTGGGAGCTTACCGAGGGGCGCCTTTTGGCCTTGTCGGCAAGCCTGTTGGAAACATGATTGGGGCGGTGGGCGGAAGAATCATGTTCCCGGAAAGCTATCTGGGAAATACGATTTACCGAAGTGTCTTGGGGGCCCGCAGGAGGCTTCCCTGGGGGCCCCTTGGGGGCCTATTGGGGCTTCTGGGGGGCCTCTTGGGAGCCTCACAGGGCTTCTTGGGAGCCTCGTGATGGCCTCCGGGGGCGTCCTAGGAGCCTCTCAGGCCGGAGCCTCTCAAGCCGGAGACCTTGAAATGTCGCGCTCTTCGGGCCCTCTTGGGTCGCTCTTGGGGCTCTCTTGGGGCGCTCCCGAGGCCCTCTTGACTTATCTGGAGACCCTCCTGGGCCGTCTCTGGGCTTTCTTGGGAGCCTCTTCGGCCGTCTGGGAGCGATCTGAAAGGCCTCTGACGCGGTCCCGGACCGTGGGGAGGGGTAACATGGGAGAGCGCAAAAATGCTTCAAGAACCATTGGACAATTTACAATTTTCGGCTTCGGGGCATTTTGGCGGCGTCGTCGGCCGTCCTGAGGCCATCTTCGGCGTGTCCCAGGCCACAGGGGGCTGTCTTTGGGCGTCCTGGGAACCTGGAAATCATGTTCCCGGAGAGGCTTCCGGGAACATGATTTCGAACGAGGCCCTCTTGGGCCTCCCTGAGCCCGTCTTGGGGGCCTCCTGGGCCGGCTTCGGGGCCTCTTGGGCCGTCTTGGGGGGTTCAGTGAGCCCCACTGGCCGACCCTTTTGGGCCGTCTTGGGCCCTCTTGGGTCTCTCTTGGGCTGTCTTGGGGCTCCTCGGGGGCGTCTGGGGCACTGCGAAGATGAAGCCAGCGAGTATGCTGAAAATGTACGTTTTTTGCATCTTGAAGGGCCTCTTGGGGCCCTCTTCGGCCATCTTCAAAGATAAAAAAAAGAAACAAAGAAAGCAAAAAAGATAAAAAAAAAAAAAACAAAAGAAAAAAAAAAAAAAAGAAAAAAAAAAAAAAAAAAACAAAAAAAAAAAAAAAAAAAAAAAAAACGAAAAAAAAAAAAAAAAAAAAAAAAAAAAAAAAAAAAAAAAAATCAAAAAAAAAAAAACAGAATTCAAAAAACAAAAAAAACAAGACGACCACTCAAGGGCCCTCTGGGGCCTCGCTGAGGCTGTCGTGTGGGCCTCTTGAGCGTCCTGGGAACCTGGAAATCATGTTCCCGGAGAGGCTTCCGGGAACATGATGTCGAACGAGGCTCTCTTGGGCCTCCCTGAGGCCGTCTTGGGGACCTCCTGGGCCGGCTTCGGGGCCTCTTGGGCCGTCTTGGGGGGGTCCGTCTGGCCGACCCTTTTGGGCCGTCTTGGGCCCTCCTGGGTCTCTCTTGGGCTGTCTTGGGGCTCCGCGGGGGCGTCTGAGGCACTGTGAAGACGAAGCCAGCGAGCACGCTGAATTTGTATGTTTTGCAGTGGAAATGGGCCGATGTTTGCCTCTTGAAGGGCCTCTTGGGGCCCTCTTCGGCCATCTTCAAGCCATCTCGGGCCCTCTTGGGCCTCGCTAAGGCTGTCCTGGGGCCCAGTAGAGGGCCCTGGGAGCCCGGAAGTCATGTTCCCGGAGATGCTTCCGGGAACATGATTTCGAACGAGGCTCTCTTGGGACCTGAGGCCGTCTTGGGGACCCCTGGGCCGGCTTCGGGGCCTCTTGGGCCGTCTTGGGGGGTTCAGTGAGCCCCATAGGCCGACCCTTTGGGTCGTCTGGGGCCCTCTTGGGTCTCTCTTGGGCTGTCTTGGGGCTCCTCTGGGGCGTCTGGGGCACTGCGAAGACGAAGCCAGCGAGTATGCTGAAAATATACGTTTTACGAAGGAAATGGGCCGATGTTTGCCTCGTGAAGGCCCTCTCGGGGCCCTCTTCGGCCATCTTCAAGCCATCTTGGGCCCTCTGGGGCCTCGCTGAGGCTGTCTTGTGGACCTCTTGGGCGTCCTCGAAAGGTGGAAATCATGTTTCCAGAGAGGCTTCCGGGAACATGATTTCAAACGAGGCCCTCTTGGGCCTCCCTGAGGCCATCTTGGGAACCTCCTGGGCCGGCTTCGGGGCCTCTTGGACCGTCTTGGGGGGTTTCGTCAGCCCCACTGGCCGACCCTGTTGGGTCGTCTGGGGCCCTCTTGGGTCTCTCTTGGGCTGTCTTGGGGCTCCTCTGGGGCGTCTGGGGCACTGTGAAGACGAAGCCAGCGAGTATGCCGAAAATGTACGTATTACGAAGGAAATGAGCCGATGTTTGCCTCTTGAAGGCCCTCTTGGGGCCCTCACGGGCCCTCTTCGGCCGCTCTTGGGCGTCTTCGGGGCCTCTTCAGGCTTTCGTGACCATCTGCACGGCCCGCGTGGCCTGTCGTGGGCAATTTGGAAGCGGCCCGGAGCAGTCCCGGGGGGCTTGTGACCCCCCAAAGGTTCGGGGGGGCGGCCATGGGGGATGACGGCACCGATTTGGGCCCCCCCCCGCCTACTCATGTATATATCTATATATCTATATATATATATATGGACATGCAGAAAGAGACACGTAAAGACAGACAGGGATACGAAGAAAGTGAACGAGAAGGAGGAAGGATGACGAGGATGAGACAGAGGAGAGAAGAAGGGCACTGGAAGCCTGCAGCGAGGAAGGGGCAGGAGGGGAGAAGTGGGAGGAGAAGGGGGAGGAGGTGCAGGAGGAGCCGCAGAGTGCTGGAGCAGAGGGCTGTAAGACAAAATGGGCGAGAAAGCTACCACAGAGGCAAGCGCCACCGACAGCGTCCTTGTCCTTGTCTGCCGTCATGCGGCCGGTTCCGAACACTTTCTCGTAGTTATCTGCGTACTTCTTGCTGTATCCGAAATTCTGGCCCTCCCAAGGAACCCGTGACCCGTCTTCTCCCGGAGCATCACAACTCATCATAATTCTAGATCGGCTTCGCTTCGGCCACGGGGATACGAACCCGGGCAAGCGTGAGGAAGCTCAAAGCCCACGCAAGCCGCCATGTGCAATGCCTCGAAGAGCTGCCCGAAAATAATCGCATCTGTCTCGGAAGACTATGCTAGCGGCTCGGCGAAATGTCCCCGACAACTCCCATGCCTTTCCCGTGCCTCCCCCCCGCATTATTTCTGATGTCGGCCTCAACGAGCTTGTATTGCGTTCACGGCCTGGGTGCGGCAAGCGCCGCCAAGGCGAACGCCGACTGGCGATGGGCGTGCCCACTGCACACACACGCACGCACGCTGGCGCACGAGAGCCTGCACGCACAGGCAATATGTGGATGATATAAGTGTCCTTTTGCTTGTCTTTTTGTCTCTCTCTCTCTCTCTCTCTTTCTATATATACATATATACATATATATGTATATGTGTATATATGTGTGTGTATATATATATATAGATGTCTCTCTACCTATGTTCCTGGGAGCGCCCTTTTCTCAGGTTGCCGCGAAGTGCTCTCACCAGCATCCCGGCAAAGCTTCCTTGCCCTCACCAATGCCTCGAGCACCACTTCTAAAGCAGAATGAGCACGCTCACTGTCTATGTATACATGTACCATTATCTATCACACACACAAACACTCTCTCTCTCTCTCTCTCTCTCTCTCTCTCTCTGCTGAAGAGAGGAGCCCTTAGCAGGCTTTCAGCGGGCCAGCCAAAAAAACGAATGGCCGCCATGCCACTGGAGGCCACCGCTGCGGTCCACACCGTGCTCGCACCACCCGCTCCCACGAGATGGTGGCCCGCTTGCCAAGGTACTCCAAGCCAGCCACCCCCTCCGACCTGTCTGCGCGGCATTCGTCGTCGCATCCATCGATCGTTACCGACCCATGATTTTCACTCTCGCCGCGTTCATGGTACATGCGCTGTTATGTTAGGTTATGGTACCATCGATGAGCCCGCATAGCGGTGCGATAGCGTTGAAAGGGCGAGAGTGGGGTGACGGTGGTTTCCCGTTCACGGTTGGCGGTGCCGGGGGCCCTGTGCGCAGGGCACCTGCCATTCCCAGGAACTTGATGCCCCAGGGTGCTCGTGTGCGGGTTATTCATCAACGGCCGAGCGCCTGAGAGCACCTGCCACCCCCCGAAACTTGACGCCAGTCTCTGCGATGGGAGTGGGTCACAAGCAAAAGATGGGAGATAAGAGCCCGGAGGTGAGGAAGGGAGGCCAGGCCCCCCCGCCCCGGACACTGCGAGCGCCGGGGGCCCGACCGCTTCTCACCTCGCCCCTGCCACCCTATTCTGTATGACACCGCCGCCACTGTCCGCCGCTCGCACACGCCAAGCGGCCGAGAGGTGCGGTCTCGAAGTCCCACCCGACACGCAGAGGGCCCTCCGCGATGGAGGCCCCCTCCCTCCTGGACCCCCGCCCCCCGCCCGAGGCGGGAGGTGAGGGCCCCTGGAAAAAAGGAGGGGGACCTCCTCACCGTGGCGGGGTTTCGAGGGCGCCCCGAAGACACGCGGGAGGGTGGCCCCAAGGGCCCCCCACAATCATTAGAGGTCTCTCCAGGCCCGACCCCCACTCTCGCCAAGGGGGCCCTCACCCACCAAAGCGTCGACCAACGACCCCGTCTCGGCCCTGGAGCTAATCGCCGCCGCCGCGCGGGCGGGCAGGGCGGCCCTCGGCTGCGATAACCCAGGGGCGCACGACAATGGGCTGGGACGTCGCGACACAGCCGCGGCAGGGGACACAGACAAGCTGGTCAAGCGCCCCCTCGGGCTGATCCAGTGGGAACCCCTGGCTGGCGAGAAACCTGGCGACTGCCTCAAACTTCTCCAACGCGAGGCTGGGTCTACCTTTGTCAGCCGTTGGCACGCCTTCTGCGCTGCGCAAGTTGAGGACAGGCGACGCGTCACCTTCGACCTGGGAAGGCGGTCAGCTGCCCAGTGTGCGGCCTCCCTCCGAGGCTCGCGGCCGCTGGACACGACGTTATGGAAGGAGCCAAGCGGGAGGGCGCGACGCTGCCGCGGCACCGACACGAGGCGTGGTCCGTGGGCCTGGCCGGGGACCAGCGACCACGAACGCGGCCGTTGCGCGCCCGGCCCCAGGTCCCCGGTTCGCTCGATGGTTGCGCGATCCTGGTGTGACGGCATACCGCCGCCCTTGCCGCCGTGCGGGACGGACCTGGACCCTTCGCCGCCGACCTGGTGCGAGAGCAACGCCGCACTTTCCCCCTGGGGAGGGCCTCTGCGACCTGGTCGCTTCCGTCGGAGGCGGGCGGCGCCTCCCCTGTCGCCACAGTTGGACTCGCCTCGGGATCCTGGTCGGGCGCGCCCCCCTTCGGTTTGCGCGGGCGTTCCGACAGACGCTGTCAGCGCAGCTGCTGGCGGAGTGGCTACTTGCGTGGAGGACCCAGACCCGTCGCCGCCGACCTGGTGTGAGAGCCTTGCCGCACTTTCCGCTGGGGAGGGCCTCCGTGGCGGTGCGCCTCGTCGGAAGAGGGCGGCGCCGCCCATGTCGCCACAGTTGGACTCGCCTCCGAACCCGGGTTTGGGCGCGTCCTGTCGGTGAGCCTGACGACATCTCCGCGCCCACTGTCCGTGCACATTCTCCACCTGTCTGCGCACCTGCTGGGTGATTCCCGTTGACCTAGCTCCGACGATGACGACTGCGACGCGCCTTCCAACCCAGGAGGCGCCCGCTGCCTGCTCTTCCGCCAGTCTGCGCACCAGTCAGGTGCTTCCCCGCTGCTACCTGGATCCGATGACGACGACCGCGGTGCGCATTCCAACCCCGGAGGCTACCGCTCCTGTCTCTCCACCCTGTCCGCGCACCAGGTAGGTGCTCTCCGGTCGCCCACCCGTCTGCGCACCAGCACCAGTTAAGTGCTTTCCTTAGTGCGCAGTCTCTCCTGGGCGCCCGCCGCCCGAGCCCGCGCGCTCTGCCCAACCCAGGCGGCGCGCGGGGCGGCCCGTCTGACCCTCCCGACACTCGGCCCAGTGGTACCCTGCAGCTCCCC